TTTACTTATTCCTTACTATGTATTAAGTTTTAATTACGGCTTTCATAATTTTATGATCTTCCTAACCTTCACCATACATTCAAGCTGATTATGAACATTTTTTCAAAGAAGTTTTAATGCATTTTTTGCATTGTTTACATGTTGCAAATTAACGGCGCACACGCAAGTACTTAGCATTTCTATACAAAGTTCCATAAGTACTAAATGTTTATAATGGATTGAATGCTATTCAGTTGCTGCAATAAATATTTTGATGTGAGCATGCTACAATAATTATTTTTTGTAGCAAATTTTTAATGGTACTTTACATAATTAAATAACGTTCGATGTATGACAAATTTTGTGTGTTGCATTTGAGTATATCTGCTAAATACATAAAGCTTGCTTAGTCATCGCTATAAATTAAGATTCACAAAGTTACGTAAAAGCTTATTTTTACTGTTAAGGGCCGTTTTCTCATGTAACTTTAAACACTTTTCTGCCCTTTAACAAATTTTGTTCTCAAAAATGTCTTTGAAGGGCACATATATTTTAAAAGTTTTAGGAAACGGCCCTAAGTCTCTTTAAACCGAAAATTTCATACCTAAATAAATATAGTTAATGCACATATTTTTTTGAAAATTGACAAAGAAATCATATGAGGCGAGGGCAGTAACTATAATATTTACAATTTCTCCACCTTTCGGCACATCAAAGCGTTTCCACCCTGCCATTGCAAAAACCCTTGCCTTTGCACAACATCACTTGAGTGGGTACAATATGCTATGCAAATATCATGCAATTAATTGGCCATGGTAATGCAATACATATGTACATACTGCGAGATACTCGCATACATATTGTTATCTTTATTGCCCAATATGATACTCCTATTTTCATTAAAATTATGTTAACATTACGCAAACGCCTACTGTGTGGCTTAAGTGGCTGCGGTATTTAACGTTTCTGAAAAAAAAACAATATTTGCGTGCAGTAATTGTGATTAGTAATTAAATTGGGTGGCTCGCCCAACAAAGTAAACGGGCAAAAAAAAAAACAATGCAATTTAAATAAAACACCTGTCTGAACATATAGATATGTATGTAAATAAGTTTTTATGTATGTATGTATATGTGTGCCATTGAAGGCATTGCCAGCACATAAATTCAACAACGGTAAATGATATTACATAAATCAGCATGCAACATTGGAAAAAAGAACAATTACAAAAAGAACAACATTGGCGCACTGTGGGCTTGTCTAGTTGAGTGATGGAAAGCTGGGTTGGTTGATAAGTTCAATTTATTGTTGACAATGATTACTTAACAACAACAATGCAACTGTATGTGTATACGTATATGTAGTTTGCAATTGAGTTCTGTGTATTAATTAAAAATTGAGAACCACAAAAAAGATTGAGTTGAATTTTCAGGTAATCAAGCATGCAATTAAAATAATTGTATTGTAAATTGAAATTGCATTTTACTGTTCCAGGGTTCATAACGGTTATGATATTTTTAATAAAAATCAAAAATTAATCGTTGAACGTGGATTTATATTTTATGATTTTTTTTTCGAGCAAGTATAATGTTTATACTATGATTCAAAAAATAAAAGTCCAAAAATAACGATTATACTTGAATGAAAAGAGAAAAAAATTATACAGTAACGGTTAAATTTGGTCAAGAAAACTATATTATTATTATTATTATTATTATTTAGACTTAAAATTAATTTTAAGACTAAACCACAAAATACTCAAGAAAAATATAAATCCACGTTTAAAGATAAAATTTTTATATAATTTTTTCTCTGCTGAATAAGGCAAGAGTTCTTATTTTTGCAGAAAAATGGTGGTAATTGTTTTGATTTAATTTTAATTAGTTTTTGTTTTCATTTTAAATTTAGATTTCAGTTTAAATTAAATTTCCAATTATTTTTTTTAATCTTAATTATTGGTTCGATTTGAATTCTGTTTTGAATTTAAGAGTCAATGTGCAATGGAGTAAATAATTTTGCTAAATAAATTTTTAAAATTTATTTTGCCTAACTTCATTCCGATAATTATCAAATAAGCGCTTCAGGACATACTCGGCAAGTTTTCGTGCAATTACTCTATGTCAGATGCATTATTACATCGACATTTGTAGTACTGCAACAGTTTCAATGCTACAGGTGCGTGCAGTGAACTGCAACCAATGAGCCATAGGTATGCAGCAGCATAGTGAACAATAGCAACAGCAACAACAAAAACAACCACAATAACAAAACAAGAATGAGCGCAATTAAAAAAGCATAATTCGATAATTGTCAAAGTTGGGCGAGGAGTGTGCTCTCGTAACTTGGCAAGCGAGCGAGCGAGCGAGCGAGCGACTAACCCGAGCATTGATTAATGCTAATTACGGCAAATGCTTGCGATTTATTCCACGCATCGCACCACTCATGCACTTCATTTATTGCTACTACAATCTAGAGCTTTGTTGCACGCAATAGTTTTGCACTTTTGCACGCGGTTCAACCACAAGTGTGCGTGGCTTTACATACATGTATGGTGTTCTATATGTACATATGTATATATGCGCACCTTGCCTGCGTAATTAAGCGTTGCAAGCGTTTTAGTTGGCATTCGCTGACAAATCAGTTGAAAGATTTAGTCGCCGATATTCGCTTAAATGCTATACGCTTAAAAGTTTCGATGTCACGCATGCGCCGCTACTCGTTTTTGCGCTCCCATTCACAGAAAATGTATTTTTTTTTGGTTTTTTTTTTTGTTGCATTTGCCATATTTTGGCTCTTGCTCTGCTTATTTTTTTTACAACTCGTTGAACGCATTTTAAGAAACATTTTAATGCTTCTAATTTTATTCATTTATTTTCAGTTAATTGTCTTAATTTTTGCCATTATGCTTAGCCGGTTTGACAAGTCTGAAAAGTAAATGCCAATGTCTTAGAAGTATGTGGCTTAGGCCTAAATATGAGTTCATTACTCGTTTATTAAGTGTGCTTTAAAGTCAAATGCACAGTGGTGACGTGCATTCTAAATGATGGGATTGTAAAAAAAAAAAATTAAACTAAAATTTGTAAATGAAATTAAGCTTTGTATGTGTATGCATTTAATTCAACTGCTAGTACTGAACATTTTTCGCACATCATTTCCCTCAAATGATTTTTTCTACCAATTAAAAGTTAACAGTTTGAAGGAAGAATTCTGCAAGAAATTAGAAAAGTACTTTGATATTTATGAAAAAATATATACATTTGTTTGTTATTTGGGCTGCAAATGATAAAATTTTTAGTAAAATGGAATGAGTATAACACGCTTCAGACTGATCTTGAATTGGGAGACCGATGAGACCTAAATTTGTAAATATGAATGTCAAGATCCATTTCGAGGTTTCTGCCTCGACAGAAAATCACAAAAACTTGTAGATATGTTAAAACTTGATATAAAAGTACATACCTCCTATTTATACTAGGTATCACAACAGTTCTATTCTAGCTTCTATATTGTGGCAGAAATGAAGTTTTATTCCAGATTGGCACTGTTCAGTTTTCCTATCAACGCAGCGAGGCAGGCATTAGAAGAAAAGGTAACATAAATATGAATATGTAATTTAGGGCGCCTCCCAAAAAAGCGAATGCTTTTCCACCAGAATTATACAATTTATTACACCTTGCGACAGGGGCCAAATATAGTATAACTGCGTTTTTTGTTTTTCTCTCTAACGTCAGGCTTTTTTAAGGACTTTGAAACTTCACAGATATGATTTATTCGAATAATTCTTAAATATAAATCAGTTCAATGTAGAATAACAATTTGTGTATGAAAGAGAAAATTCTGTACAATTGAAAAAGACTATTTTTTTTAGGACGAAAAGGTATCGCAAATGTCATTTAAAAATTTTTTCCTTGAATACATATGTACCTAAAAAATTGGAATATTTTTTTATTGTAAACGTTTTTTTCTCTCACTTGCACTGCATTTTTTAAATATTTTTTTGAATTAATCAGATTTTTGGAATTTTTGGAGGTCTTTTTAAAAAATTCTGACGTGAGAGAGAAAAACTAAACACGCAGTTTTACTATATTACTATTTAGTTTCATGAGCTAATAGATTTTTTCGTATGTTTTGAATTTTTTTGGCTTTTGTGGCCAACAAATTTCGGAAAGAATATTAAGGTTTACCGTTTTGAAAATACCATCTAAAAAATCTCATTATTTTAATTTCGTTGATGAAATTTTAAGCATTTTTATTCGTACCTTCTAAACTTAAACTTTTCTATTATCTGAGGGGATTTTATATATACAAAAAAAAAACATTTGGTTTTAGGTTTTTTCAAATCGTTTCAGCTCATATACATCTCAGTATTTTTCTGAAATCTTTTGATTATTCATATACTTTTCTGTTTTTTTTGTAGGATTAACTTTTTTACCACCTCATGACTATCAAACTATTTAAGTACGCCAGTTATTTGCTGTATTTGTATGACTATAAGATTGATGTTATATTGTTTTAATTTGTATCTGATAGTGGATTGCATCAAGTCATTGCATTTACTAACAACTCGCCGCTTTTATAACCTACCCTAATCTGCCGCATTAAAACTTATTTAATTGCCAATATTTTCCAATTTGTTTGTCAGCGATTTAAATGGAGATGAGCAATTGAAAAGCGTGAGGAGTACTTAACTTGAATCACTTGGCTGACCTCGTCAATGACCTTAGCTGCGTTTGATAAACAACTGCTACTTTAGCTTGTTTTAGAATGAAGTTTGGAGCAGATTTCGCAAAAAGTGGATCGACTTGAAAAGTTAGTTAAAAACATTATAACTTAATTGGAAATTGAGATAATAGAATATCGGCTTAGAATGATTCATAACAAATTGTGGCATGCGTTAGTGTAAATACAACACATAGGTGTATTTGTACCTATACAAACAAACAAACATACATACATACACTCATCGGCATGTAAATTCTCTTATGTATGTATGTAAATAAATATTTTTTGGTCACACTTACCAGCGCCATTGTGGCAACCACCAAACCGAAGCAGAAGGCAATTTGCGGCACCGATGGCGTATACGTTCCCCAGCCAGTGCAACTGCCAACACCGATGGCAACCAGAAAGAAGGTACCTAAAAATTCGCCAATCAGCGCACGCCATATACGTTTGTGTGTGACATCGCTGACGCCAATGATTTTGGGAATATCTGCAAATGAAAAGCAATGAAGTATTTGTGAAATTGGCTAGCAAAATACAGGTAGATAGATATGGGAGAGTAAAAAAATATAAACCAAAAAAAATCTATAAGCCCATTCTAACTATTACACAAAAAAAAAAAAAATTTGGGAGTGCCCTAAACCACTTTGTGCCTCTATTTGTAGTTAATTAAACTCATAAAGCATTGACATTGAGTCTTATCAAAATTTGTTTTCGTTGACGCTTCTTTGTTTTAAGGAGCATCCAAATAATAAACCACAAAGAATTCTTTTGTTGGCGGAGTAACAAAAAAAATAAATAAATAAAATAAAACCAAAGCAAAAGTTATTAGACCTGTAAAAGCATTTTGATGTTCAGGCAGTAAAATTTTAAATTGCCGTTGGGCAAATCAATCAACATAGTAAAAATATCCGTTTAAAACAGTGAGTGTCATTCAAAAGATAGCAATCAATTGGTTTACGCATACTCATATTCATACGAGTACTATTTCTATGCATATTTGTTTTTTACCATTCACTAAATAAGTGGCTAAATACCACACAATTTTTTATTTCTGCGTTTATTTACATATATTTTTTGTTTGTTTTTTGCTATCACCCGCAGAGTGTGTAAGTGATTTGTATGATTGACAAGCGTGGTGTTGACTTTATCGCAAATGTGTGTAAATCATTGTATGTATGTATGTAAGTAGGTACGCATGGCAAGCTCGCTGCAGCCACATTCGTTGTTTACTGTAATTTATGAATGATGATAAACTTTGCCTTTGGCATGTAAAATTAATATTATTTACTAGTCACATAGTATTTTTATTCATTTAAAAGGAAATAATGGAAATAATGAAATGAACCTTTCGTGCTCGATATGTAATCCGTTTTTTTTTTTTTTTTTTTTTTTGTATGGAACGACCAGAGTATGAGGACATCTGGTGAAGCTTTCCTCCAAAAAGGGTAAATTTACACGACATAAAGATATATATTTTTAGACAAATCTAACTTGTCTCCAGAAACTTTCCTATCCGCCCATCTGTATTTTTCCAAAGACCTTGTGCCGATTTTGTTTCTACCGAAAAATACAACCTTCTCTTTGCCTTTGCGCACATACACTAAGAAGATGGCGATGAGAAGGCAACATTTTTTGTAGAAACGAAAACGCCATTACATAAATTCAAAAAGTTACTCATACGCGAGGGCAGGCTAGGCACCAATGCAAAGGTAATTCGTTTAAAATATGTATGAGTCAGTGTTTAACCAAATTTTTATCTATTCAGCTAAAAAGCTATTATGGACAAGTTCAATAAAAGCACCTGAAATTTTTGAGTATCAGTGTGTCGAAATACAACCTTTTGTAGTACACACTTGAATAACTTAAAAAAATCTTAGGTGATGTTTTCATTACCGCTTCAATATTTAGTTTTAAAAATAATTTTTTTTATGTACAATTACTGATACTCAGTTTAAAAGGAAATGTGCATTAGTTTAGCACTGTGCAACAAATTTCAAAAAATTGGAAGAGATGGGAATCGGAACAAAAGCATTTGATTTAGCTGGTCAAATCATGAAAAAGTACCAAAGGATTTGAAAAATTTTCACTGTAAGTTTTCTATTGACAATGAGTGAAAATATTGTGAATATTAATGCTCTGCAGTAGTTAGTTAATGCTGTAGTTATAGAAAAATTCTCATACCACGACTTATCTCTGATTATTTTGAAATTCAAAAATTTCATAACAATTAACTTTTTTTTCATAGAAAAATTTAAAGTACGCAGTTTTGTAGCCCAATAAATTCTAATAATAATGTGGAAGTTTCAAGAGGCTAGGAATTCGCGTTGACTTTTAATAATTTTTCTTACCGACGGTGTTATTATTTTCATCCATAACTACAAAACCAATTATCGAACATAGTAACTTTGTATTGAAAAAATGCGTGACAGTATCAAAAAAAAAAATTAAAAATTAAAAATAAACGGTATTTTTAGACACTTCGTACTTGAAAATTTTCGCTGTGCAATTTGTTTACTTTTTATAAATTTTGTACGAATATAAAAATTTGGATTTATGTAAATGGCCCAATTAGATGGCCGTATCGTTTTGTCTCGGTGTGTACAACAGGTACAAATAGTAACATTAATTCCTTTATTTTATTGAAAAACTGTTTCCAAAAATACTGTACTGTAAACAATGGTTTTGTTTTTTTAATGGAGTTACTGTGAAACGGATTTTTTCGCAGTAATATAATCTGCCTTATCCTGAGTTTCGCCTGTAAAAAAATTCACCCGAAAATTTGTCATCCGCCCATAGTAAAACCATGGAAACCAAAAGTGAAAAGTGAACCGTTTCGGGGAAAATGAAACTCATGATAAGGCTGAATATACCATTGAAAAGTATGCAAAAAATTTGGAACTAACTTTAGTGTCCACCTTATTTGATTATGAGTACGCCGCCACTAGTATTCTTTCTTCTTAAGCATTTGAAGGAAATTTTGAAAACCAAAGTTTTGAGAAATCAAAGCTGTGCAGTAAAATTTTTGGTCAAATTTGCCATAAAACTGTTTATCTTAGGCATCGTAATATTTTATTTTTATTTCTAGCGGCGCTACGTTTATCAGAGACACGTTATCTTGGATTAGGCATGCTCATAATCATAAATCAATTTAATAATTTAGAAGTACATAAGTGTTTTTTGTTTATAGGATTTACCATCCTATCGCGGTATTTAGAGAGCAAACATTCAGATTGCCTACATTATAACTGCAAGATCAAATGTTAACACTATCTAATCTTTAAATTGGGTTGAGATAAGAAAATTTAAATACAAAATATTTGAAGAAGAAATGAGCAATGAAATGAGAATATTTAGATGCAAGTTTTCGTACTTTTTAAGTTGAATTATGTAATTCTATATCAAATGTACCCGCACATGCAACTTTGTGAATAATTTGGTAGTAGAATGCACAGCTGTCGTGTGTTGAAGATACCATTAATTGAACTGTCAAATTAAGCTTGTAATCATTCTTAAGCCGAGCCTTGTTAGGTGAAGAAGTTCTTTAGTTCTCCTTGTCGTTATTTCCAGCAGGAAGGATTTAGTCTGTCTGCTATTCACCTTATTTGCTCATTAGTGCTTCCTCCTTCATCCACACATAGTAATTTGGGCAAACGGAGGTCCATATAAGGTCAATGAATCCCCATTCCGAGATAATTTGCCCTTTCGTTGTCCGGATGATATGAGTGTCGAGAGCTAAAGGCAATGCCACACCAGCTTCGTGTGCTTTTACGGCGAGTGTATGCAGATTTCCTTGTTGGCCGCCCTCTATCCAGTATCCACTGGCTCATACATAGCTCGGATTCATGTACAGGGTTAATTTGCCCCATACTAATGGATAGAAGCCCTTTAGGTCGTAAACAATAGACCCCAGACTCATCAGTATACCAGATGTGGCTATTTTTCGGGGGTTTTAGTTCTACGTAAATGGCACAAATTAAATAGACATAAGCTCGACCAAGGATATAAACAAAAATTAAAAGCGGTTTAAAAAGCATTTAACTCTTACAAAATACGTATCTTGTATGCAGATATTTTTACTTTGGAGTTAGCGGATATAAATGCATTTGAAAGTTTTTGTAGGACATCGAAGGCATATATTGAATAAAATTATCACAAATTTCAAAAATAATTTATAATACACATACAGTGCCGGACTAAAGTATTCGCACAGAGAATTTTTCGCAATGCATGCAAAGTTTTTTATTATAATTGCTTTTCGCCAATTTTTTATTAAAATATATTTCTTACTATACTAAAACACATAAAAATAACATCCCTAAACTGTGTGCAAAACTCACGAAATTTCAATAAATTTGCGTGCTAATTTGCTACTTTCAAATCAGATTTTTTAGAAAAATTCTAAATTGCAGTTGTTTAGCCCTACAACAAAGTGCAAATTTGTTGCACATTTTCTTTATAAAAAAATAATTTTCGAACATACTTTGTACTGAAGAACCTGCGTGAATAGAAAGTTGCTGATTAGTATGCAAATTTATTAATTTTTCCTGAGTTTTTCACAAAGTTTATAGATTTTATTTTTATGGGATTTTGTGTAGAAAGAACTATGTTTTTATAAAAAATTATCGAAAATAAATTAGAATAAAATACTTAATTTAAATTGCGAAAAACTCACTGTGTCAATACTTTTGTTCGGCACTGTACTATGTTTGTATGCATTAAATCCACCTCAGATTAACTGTTTCCGATAATATTAGATTGCACTGCTACTGGCATCTAAATATTGCAAAAATATTAATTCTCTGGGTAGCCACTACTTGGCTTCGCAAAGAGACCATTAAAATCCATAGCGTTACGAGGTAAACTACGAATAATTGAACAGCTAATCACCGAGCGCCGGGAGTTATGTTGAAAATTAGTTAACGTTTAGGTCTAAAGGTTAGATGAGTATCCTTAATGATTATTTTCAACCCATGGAATAAACTTAAATTTCAAAGGAAAATACTTTCTCTACTAAATGCTCCACTCGCTTTTCCAATTCTATTTTTTCTGGTATAGCTTTTATGAATCACATAAATCTAATTTTTAACCCTGACCACTACGTCCATTAGTAAACCACCAATTTTTGGTATGAATATCTTATATTCCCTCTTAAGTTACTTTCACTTTTTGAAATGACTTATATTTCAGCAGCTTCTCATCACTTTTTAACAAAAAAAATCACAAAAAAAAACCATATATATTTTTACCCTCAGAAAGGCGATCCGTTGAGTAGGTCATTTCTGTGGTTTCTTGGAATGTTCGCTTTTGACGTTGTTCGAAGGAGATTTGCACTTGTGTCGATGTGTCTACCGGAGCGGGAGGAGACTGTTGAACCGCCGACGCCATACAACTAAAAACTCGGCGATCACTCAGCTAAGCACTGGAGCAGGAATTTCGCTTAGCAATTTTTATTTTTTGTTGCATACGAATTTGATGCTTTACCCGATTGTGCGAATGGGGATGGCGCGGCGAATGAGCTGTTAACGAAATTAAAACGAGTTAACGATGCCGACACCGACGTTGAAGTGCTAACTGATCGCTTTTGGCGAGCGTTATGACTTTTCTACTTGAAGCGATACGCTTTTCGTTCGACGTTGCAATAATTTCACTCGGCAAGCGCTGCGCTGCTGCTATTAGTGACTTTATTTATGCGAGTATTGATACTGATGATGAGTTTTATTTTTTATTTTTTTTTTTTTTTTGTATTTTTATTGTTTTACGCGCATTATCTGTAAGTAGCTATGTACCTTGTTCTGGCAATGAGCACCAATCGACATAAACACGAGTGTTACGCGCGCTAAATAGCAAAGATAAAAATCAAACAATCGACAAGAATATTAACAGAATATATATTTGATTGTTAATTAATTGCAATAATTGTCAACTAAACGGCAAAAGTAAATCACACTGTGCAGATATGTTAGCGGCGACGCGTATAATTGATATAATTTATAAATACGCAATAGGGGTATTCTCTGAGTCTTGCAAAGCCCTTGCATGGTGCACAGATTGCACGGATTGCACGGTAAAAACCGGTTTTCGTATGGGACAGCTTTGCAAACCGTGCAATCCGTGCACCGTGCAAGGGCTTTGCAAGACTCAGAGAATACCCCTAATGTGTAATTAAATAGCAAATAATGCAAAGTATTTCACGCTAAGCGCTTGCGTTGTGCTTATTACTTCTTTTTTTTGTTTTTTTGTTGGCTAATTTGTGTATCTACTTTTTCAAACTGCTGTGCTTCGCGATCGGTGGCGGCAGGTGCGTTTGCTCGACGTTTGAGTTTTGAACTAAAGCGTTTGGTCTGATTGCAATTGCTTTTTTCTTTTTTTTTTCGGCGGGGTTGGCTCATTTCAGCTGTTAAAATTTCATTGCTTTGGCTGTGACTCTGCCAAATATTGAGGACACACCCGAGTTCTTGCGATTGCTGACGTATTCTCAACAAGTGCTGATAAAAGCAGCAAAACAGGAACGGTATAAAAACTTTGTGAAAATCTGTGTAAACACCAGCAGCAGCAAAAATAAAACAAAAAAAAAAAATGTTAGAACGTCTGGACATGAACAAGTATTGTTAACACACATACTCATATGAGTATATGCATGTACATATCAGTTATGATAACAGTGTAACGCATGCCTAAGGGCGCGTTCTTACATACGAGGCCATGAGAGCCAGAGGAGCCTATCTAAAAAAAATCTGTTTGAGTAATAAGAGAAAGAATCTATAGATAATAAATACAGTATTTTACTCTTTGAAGGCCTCGTATGCAGTGTTGCCGTTTTAGCCCTTTGGTGGCTAGATTTAGCACACACTTTTTTTGGCCATATAAATTTAAAATTGCTACTGGCCCATATTTAGCCCTTTGACAAATGTATTCATCCTTGACAGGAAAAAGTTTTATACACTTAATTTGATCTGATTTTTTTCATTTATGTAAGACATGAATTTTTAGACTAAGAAAGATATACATATATGTATATATATGTGTGTATATGTATTGTAGATTTTTGGTTGGAGCTCATTATTTTTCTATACTACTTATTGCAAATGTTTGTGTGTATACTCATATATGTATACATATAATAAAAAAATTTTAGCTACCATTTTTAGCCACAACGATTTTTTTTGGGTCATATTAGCCCCCTTTTTTAAAAGGAATTTGGCTACCACTAAAAATGATTCGCGGCAACACTGCTCATATTTATGCACATTAGGCATATGACTTTTTTCTAAAAAAAAAAAGAAATGACTAAGGAATGATGAAACCCCAACAAAGATTACGTGTTCGTCAAAACCTGGTACAAAAAGTTCCCGCAGGGGACCCCGAAAGCAATGTATACTGATCGGTTATGTTCTTCATAATAAAAAGCATAATTTAACCGTTTAAACTGGATTTATAATTTTCCGATCAAAATTAAACGTTACTTTTAGATCTTTTTTGATAAAAACCAGTCGTTATTTTTAGATTTAATTTTTTAGATTATAAAGGATTTTAAACATTCATAAAATGCAGCCCTCATTATAACTATAAAAAAATTATGGAAAAAATAAAACCCTAAATTAACGATTATTTTTTGACAGAAAAAATAATAAAAAATAACGATTTTCAGTAATCTTAAAATAAAAATCTTGATATTTAATGGAAATTTTCGGTTCTTGGTTTTTAATACGTTGACTTGAAACTTTCAGTATACAGATGTACATATAAATGTGGGTGAAAAATTCTAAGTCAACGGAATAACCTCATATGCCTAATGTAAGTAGGGTTGGTGTCGAATGGTGAAGGGTAGGAAAATTGATATGCGGAGTAAAAAGAGAAGTGTTGTCTTATCAATCCCCACTCCTTCTTGCAGCTGAGTAGTTGACATGTCGAAACCGGAAAGCGAAAATATTTTAACTTACTCATATCAAAAAACGAAAAGTTGCTTGCCAAAAATGGTAAAATGTAAAAAGTGAAATCAAATGTGAAAAAGACTTATAGTAAAAAATAGTAAATAGATAAAGCATGAATCACTGGCCAGAAAGAAGGCCCAAGTAACCAACTAGATTTGAGTACCGAGAGATACTTTTCTAATATAACTTTTGATAAGTATTAATCAATTATCCGTACTACATATGTAATGAAAATGTGCTTTTGCTTTTACCATTTCATTTTTTTATACCATTTATCACACTCTGCTCGCAGCATATCAAAAACTATCAACAAATATTAAATAAGCGCCATACTACCGTTAAATAAATAGCGTGTCAAGCTATCGAGATAATTGTGTATTAATCAAGCATTGTGTCAAAACAAGTTGTGAAATAGATTCATACATATAGATATGTATGTAGATAAGATATGGTTGTGTTAAATGATGGACTGCCATGAAAATTAGTAATTTCGCTTAACTTGAAGTTCAAGTTTACTACATCAATTACTTCTGTCCCTTGAAGGAATCGTACAATCTAAAGATCGAGGCAGAGATAAAACAGTATTTATGAAATTAAGCAATGAGAGCGTTCCAGAAATTTAACAGCGATTTTTGGAGGTATTTGCAAATATTTAATTTTTCTGAAATATTTTGGCGCAAATCTCAAAATATAATACATTTTATATTTCCAGTGGAAAAATTGCAACTTTTTTTGGTGTAGATTTGTATAAAACGTGGGAGTATTAAGGATTTCAGCCTTTTTATTGAAATCGGTAATTAAGGACACCACTTTTAAAGGTAAACATTCTAGAGATGAAATGGCTTTCCTTCGATTGTTCGTTACCTCAAATTTTTGGTTGCGGTCTTAATCCAAGAAACGGAAAAAAATTCTAAATTATCTGCCGGCTTGATCGCATTTTGTTTCTTCTGTTACTTCATTATGAAAATACACCTTCTTTCATTAAAAATTCCATCACAATATCGACAGTAGAATAGGCTTGTTTCTTAATTTTTGCTTTCCTGAAACCTCCTGACCTTTTGTATAAAAAAAAACTTTTTTTTTCGTTTTAGGACTTGTTAAAATCCAAATTCAAATTAACCCAAATTTAACTCTGCTCCACTTTCGAGTTACAAGATATCATGCACATACATATGTATGTATGTATGTATGTAATTAATTGCACAAATTAAACCATATATATCGGTTATCAAGATTTTATCAACACACAACAGTACAAACGCCCACAACAGCGAATGACGAAAGTAAATTATTGCAAAAAAATTTATTTAAATGTAATTCAAATGTTAACTGACGGACGTCAGTACAATAAAAAAAGATATATATTTGCATGTATGTACATTAGGGTGGTCCAAAAAAAAAGTAAAGTCGGAAATTTAATGCTCTCACCCCCTAGGATTGTTCTATACCGAAAAAAATATACCCCTGTTTTTTTATTTTAAAATCAAAATATATTTAGAGGTCGCTCAAAGCGCTCAAAGTTTCCCATGTATTTTGTATGGGCAAAAAAAGACTTTTCGTAGAAATGGCATAGAATCCATGAAAATCAAAATTTTTCAATCTGAAAACTCTGCTTCTCTTCAGAAGACTTCAGAGAATGATGCCCAATTGTTTATTTAAACATTTTTTAATTATAACTATTTTTTAAGGGTCTCCGAAAAATCCCCAAAAAAATCAAATACTCAAAAAGAAATATGCAAAAGAAAAAAACAAAAAATAGTTAAAATTAAAAAATGTTTAAATAAACAATTGGGCATTATTCTCTGAAGTCCTCTGAAGAGAAGCAGAGTTTTCAGATTGAAAA